GGAAGTATTTACTGTTAAGAGTGAGAACAGTAATTCAGAATCCAAAGTCTAGCAAAGGATTTGAGTATTTGTTTTATAAGTAGTTTTAAAACACATTTTATTACTAATCAATTACACGACGAGTTTCATAAGCTATTCCCAAATAGTGATATCAATCAAGAGCACTCATTCTATTCAGATAATTCTTGTGAACTTTGTTATCCTCCTGAGGAACCAACCGCTACCTTTTTGATCTTTTGGCATTGGCTCCAAATGGAATTTTCTGCTACCACTTACATATCCAAAACCCAGGAATATTTCTAATGATTACTTTCTTGTTATTTTATTAATCAAGACCATATTATTAAATAACTTATCTTTTCTATAAGATATATCCAACACCTTTCCTTTGATAAAGTCCTTATTACCCTTTCTCAAGCCTTAATAAAATTTGAATATTTCACAATCGATCCTCTCCAAAATCCTTTTGAGTCACCTGATTTATTACCCTACCTTTTAAGTCACCTGACTCCACCCTCCTCTTCATCTTTTAAATATCAAAGAAACCTTTTATTTACAAATGACTCTTAGATTTAGAACTTCTTTTTGAAAACCCTAACAATATGACTACTTCTCAGGATATTCTCAACTACCTCAAGGCTAATACTTATCAAAATATTATGGGAATTGAACCGTTCAATGGAGATGGTACTCAAGATCTGATTACCTGGCTCTCAGCCTTTGAAAAAGCCTCAAAAGTCAACAATTGGAAAAATGAAAGGCTCCTACGAATGCTTAATGGATACCTACAGGATGAAGCAGAAGAATGGTGGACCACTTATTATAACAAGAACCATGCAGACAATGATGCAATGAAATGGAAAAATATTAAAAAAGCATTTACAAAAGAATTCTGCACTCAACGATGGATCAACAAGTGGACCAGAGACTTGGAACAGAGAAGACAAGGACCTACTGAACCTGTTAATTCCTATTATGCTGCATTCAAGAAATTGATAAAACGAGCAGACCTACATGGAGAAATGGGCGATTATCAAAAACTCTGATATTTTATTCGAGGACTACTACCACACTTGGCTCCTATCGTCTCCATGAATAATCCAACCAGCATCCAAGAAGCAGTTGAATATGCCCTAGCATATGAAGCAGGACAAGATATGAATAATTCTAAAGAACCCCCAGTATGACTCATGCGATATAATACTACCAAGAACACTGAGAATCCAATGGATCAATTAATTAAGAAATTCAAGAAAATGCAATTAAATTTAGTTGAACGAATTGAACTACTCTCAGCACAAGTGGAGAAACAAGCCCGACGTCCCACACAGTTCTTATCCAATTAAAAGAAAACTATTACTTGTTTCCGATGTGGAGAACCTGGACATATAGCACATGATTGCTTATCAGAACGGATCCAATCAAAGCCCACAAAACCAAGAAAGCCGATTAATTATTTGACTGTGGAAGCAAGCTCATCATCAGAGGATGAAGAAAATGAAATCTATATGGAACAAAGAGGAAGACCACCATATTCGACCAATCACAAGGAAACTAAAAACAAACAGAAGCAATCAAAATCACAGAAGGAATTAAATCTACGAACACGAAAGGTTATCCCTAAAACTCAACCAATGGAAATTGAAGAATCAGGACCTGAGGAAGAAATAGTGCAACCAATCAAAATCAAACAACCAAGAATGAAATCTCAACCGTCTGTGGTAGACCAATTGTCACCATACAATATTGCCGATGATATTTTAGGACTAAAAGTCTCTACAACATTGGGACAAATGCTACAATACCCTAACCAATGGAAAAACCTGGTGAAAATCCTGAAACGCCCTAAGCAAGTAGTAGAGACCAATTATGCATCTGATGAAGATCACTATCGAACCACTGCTGCAAAATGTTATATTTGAATCAGGGGTATTCCAGTAATTGCAATTCTGGATTCTGGAGCCGCCATAAGCATTATAACCAAGAAACTTATGGATAGACTTGGATTGGAACCAGATATACCTTCCAAAACAATAGTAATTACAGCCAATGGAAATCGTATATGAGCATTGAGACAAATTACAAACCTGAAGATTGCTATTCAAGATATTATTGTGCCAGTGAAACTACAAGTCATCGAATCACGTGAAGAAACCCTTCTCTTGGGAACCGACTGGTTGAAACATATGAAAGCCAAATGGGATTTCAATCAATGAACCTTACAAATTTCATATTAAGGAAAGAAAATAAAAATTGAAACCACACACTTGGCAAACATCCCCCCTCAATTACCAAGCGATGATAAAGAGCAGGATGACGATCAATTATTAGAGGAAATCGAATATGAAACCGAAGATGATCTTGAGGAACAGGAAGCCTATACCTCTGATCTAATTTTAGAAAGTGAGGATGAAAATCCTGCAGTCTTTTTGACTGACATACCCGAAATTAAGGAAGAATCCAAGATGACACAAGGAGTATTAACTGAGGAACAACAAGAACAAGTACAAACCATAATGGATGACAATAAGGATATTTTTGCAGATAATATCTCAAAAGAAGAACAAACAAGTGATTTGGAAAAAACAACAATGGTCACGCATTGTATTAACATTGGAGACGTTATTCCAATTAAACAACGACTATACAAGGCATCCCCCGACCAACAAGAATTTATTAAAAAGGAGATTGAGGAAATGATAAAATGAGGAATTATCAGCCCTACTACTAGTCCATGGTCCTCATCTGTAGTTATAGTACCAAAGAAAAACAACAAATTCTGTTTTTGTGTGGACTATAGGAAGCTAAATTCAGTAACTGTCAAAGATGTTTATCCAATGCCAATCGTGAATGACTTATTGGAAACCTTCAATGGAGCACAATGGTTCACATGCTTAGACTTAGCTAGTGGATATTGGCAAGTGGCGATGAATGATCAGGACAAAAGCAAAACAGCATTTGTTATCAAATATGGACTATATGAATTTAACGTTATGCCTTTTGGCCTATGCAATGCACTAGCCACATTCCAACGATTAATGGACAAAATTTTAGCTCCTTATCGAGACAAATTTGTGGAAGTATACTTGGATGACATCACTATTTTCTCAAAAACATTTGACCTACATTGCCAACATGTAACGATCATTTTGGATGTTCTGAGACAAGCAAATCTGAAGATAAATACTGAAAAATGCCATTTCTTTCTGGCAAGCGTTAAATTGCTGGGTCACGTGATTAACTGTGAGGGAATTCAACCTGATGATGAGAAAATAGATAAGGTGAAAAATTTTCCAAGGCCAATTAACATTAGACAATTGCATGGATTTCTAGGATTAGCCTCCTATTACCAAAAATTTATTAAGAATTTTTTAACGATTGCATGACCCCTCAATAATCTACTGGAAAAAGAAGCAACATTTAATTGGACTGACAATCAACAACAAGCTTTTGAAATCCTTAAACAATTGTTAATTACTTTATCCATCTTGAGATATCCAGACTTTTCCAAACCATTCTATATATATACCGATGCTTCAGGTATAAGAATTGGAGCAATATTAGCACAAAAAGAAGACAAAAAGGAATATGCAATTGCATATGCTAGTCGAAGCTTAAATAAGGCCGAACGGAACTACTCAGTAACTGAACAGGAATGTCTTGCTATTATTTGAGCCATAAAACACTTTCACCAATATCTGGGAACCAATCACTTTTATTTAATAACTGATCATTTAGCACTTCAATGGCTAAAAACAACTGAATTAAAAGGACGACGTGCCCGATGGATATTACACTTGGAACCCTATAATTTCACTATTATTCACTGATCTGAAAGAAAACACAACAATGCTGATACTATGTCCCAAATATATGAAACTGAAAATTTACCATTGGAACAACATTAATTGGAAAAGATAACACAAGTCAACAATCTGATGATAAATAATATCCAGTCCAGGTTGTCGATGTCCTGGCAAAAACATAGCAAAATGGATTCACAACAATATTGGCAAATTAAAAACTATCTTCTTAACAACAAATTACCCAATGATTTAAATACACAACAACAAAAGCAACTACAAGCAAAGGCAAAATTCTTTGAAGTGAAAAACAACCAATTATATAAAAAGGATCGATGAAAGAAAACTAGGAATCAACTGCTGCGAGTATTACAAAAACATGAATTGGAACCTATATTATTTCTATTATATAATCATTCTACTGGCGCATACTTAAAAGTGGACAAAATCTTTAACAAAGTATGAAATCAATATTACTGGTCATAAATGTTTGAGGATATTAAACAATATATCAGGACCTGTGATCAATGTCAACGACGTGGAAAATTCAGAACCCCTGGACCTTTACATCCCATACCGGTTGGAGATCCATTTTTAAAAATAGGAATCGATATTGTTGGACCATTACCAATTACAAACAAAGGAAATAGATATATTGTTGTAGCGACTGACTATTTAACTAAATGGCCAGAAGCTGAAGCAATATTCGAAGCAACAGGACAACAAGTTGCAGATTTTATTTATCAAACTATTATTTGCCAACATGGATGTCCAAAACAAATATTATCTGACCGAGGAACGTATTTTAGAAATGAAATAGTAGAAGCTTTATTAGGAAAATTTCAAATTCAACACTTATATTCCATCCCATATCACCCTTAAACAAATGGATTGGTTGAATGATTCAATAGAACACTATGTGAGTCATTAGTAAAAATCACTGAAGGAAATCAGGATTGGGATGAATTTATTGCACCTGCCCTCTTTGTATACCGAACTGCCAAACAAGCATCCACCAAAATGACACCCTTTTATCTGATTTATGGACAGAAACCCATAATGCTCCACAAGGATATGGATGAAGTTATGGAAGGAAATATCTTGATCCAATTATTCCATCTGATTGAGACCTTGCCACGAAACCGAGGAATTGTCCAGAAAAATATCCAAATGACCCAGAGAAAACAAAAGGAACGACACGATCTGAAAATCAAATGAGACAAACAATTTAAAATTGAAAACAAGGTGTTACTCTATGATGTGACAAGAGATAAACATTTTACCAGAAAACTAAAACCCAAGTGAAAGGGACCATATTATATTCACGATATTTTGAGAAATGGAGCCTACAAACTAAGGACCTTAAAAGGAAAAGTAATGGCTGCACCGTTCAATACCGCTTTGTTGAAGACCTATTATAACCGGAAACAATAGAAACCTATAGTTGCTATTGAACAATAAAAAAAAACTTGAACGAATGAAATGTAGCGCAATAACAAT